TCCCTATGTCCTCCAGAAGTCTAAGCCTTAAGCAGCATAACTATAGAGATACTTAACAGCATCCAATCACCACTGGCGTAGTTATCGCAACTTTTCCTTCATTAGCCGCCATACTTCTCTGTTTACAAGACGCGCCGTGTGCGCTCTTGGAGAAAACATGCGTCATTGGAAGACGTACTTATTAGCTAATTGGAAATAAAGCTCTACAGCAAAACCCCATTGGCAGAGAAAACCGACACGATAAAGTTAGAAGCTGACAACAAAAATGCCTTGACTCCTGCATTTGTGCAAATGATGTGTAATTTATTTTAATGAAATTACCTCTTTCCAAAAAAGCTTAAAATAAAAGGAAAAACAACATAAAAAATACTCACTGGACTTTGAAGATGTTTTGCTTTCTATCCAGAAATCTTTCTCAGTTCAAAATGTCTGGAGTAGCATTCAGTTCCATGCTTATATAGTGACCCAAACAAACGCCTTGTTTTGGCTTAGAAAACGAGGTTGAGGTCGTTCTTGGCCTGCAAAATCTGATACTGGCCTATGCCTCTGAAAAGGGAGTCGTTAGGGTCATTGCTGGCCTGGCTATACAAGCGAGATGTTTGGTCCCCTGCATATAGAATAGAATAGAATAGAATAGAATAGAATAGAATAGAATAGAATAGAATAGAAAATCCCTTTATTGTCCTACAATGGGGAAATTTTGGTGTTTACAGCAGCAAAAAGATTATAGAAAAATGGTCACACAAATGTAGAGCTTAAAAAAATGTATAAGAATAACATAATAGTGAAGAGTTAAAAGATAAACAATAAAATACTGTACTGTAAAATGTTTTAACAATATAATACTGTGCACCTGGAGAATAAATAACCAATATGCAGCTATGGACATTTTTACAGTAATATTTGAAAATAGCAGCAATATCAGAGATGTGCAAAATGACAGCAGGATATTATTTAACTGACTAAGATAGAAACTGTGCAAAATCAGCATGAATGTAACAATTTATTGAGGTTTAAAGTAAGGATCTGTGATAACGATGGGGGTTGAGATGATAGTGGGAAGCAACCAACTCTATCCCTGCGTTGTACGTTTTTGAAAGCTGAAACCTGAGTCCACCCCCTCTGTTTAGGGATGGTTTTCCTTTCTTAACATAAATGGCTTTCTTCACACCCCTTTGCAAACACCTGTCTTCTTTGTCCAAAATGTGAACATTCTGGTCCACAACCGAATGTCCTTTGTCCTTTAGATGTAGATGTGTCTTGTCCTGAGGAGGTCGCTCTTCTGCGTTGGGCTATGTGTCTGTGGAGAGGTTGTTTGGTTTCTCCGATATAAAGATCAGAGCATTCCTCACTGCATGCACCATTCCGCTTATCTTTTTTTTTAAATCATTTTTTATTAGAAAAAAATTCAATTTAAAAGAATAGGTGCAACTATATACAGTGAACAAAAAGAATAATCAAACATTGTTATTCGTTTACAGAAACACCAAGGAAAAAAACTACAAAAAGAAACTCATTACAAACCCATATCAACAGAAATACTTTCCCTCTTAATTATCTACAGTGAAAAAATTTATGTTTATGCACAAAAATTAATCAAATTGTCCAGTCCTGAAACTATTTGCATTTACTAAGCAGTCCAAAAATGTCCTGAGAAAGTTGTTTGTCGATGCTTGTGAGTGTTTTCCTATGATTTTCAAAAAGTCCTATGAACAGTTTCCAGCAATCCAGTGACTTATTTTCAAAAAGTTTATAGTTCCTGCAAATGTATACTGAGTGTCCGCTCATCTTAGGTCTGGGGGTTTTGTCCTTAGGATGCACCAGTCTTCGTCTAAAGGCTATTTGTTTAAAGACATTTTTAATTGATAAAGCTTTCTGGATGGGAAGCGAAACATCTTAAAACTTGGAAAACACTTCTTTTAAAAACTTTTTTGGAATGACTATGACCTGGATGACTGGGAATCTTCACCAGTAAAATGACCTCTTCTGCCACACAATATGCCATGCAAAAAAAAAAACTTTTCTTAGAGAGATTTAAAAAAAAATGAAAAGAAAAAAACAATGGCACCAACCCGGGCTCTCTAGTAAATCTGGTATAGAACCGCCACTGCCTCTGCATTAAATCCCATCACATGTAAACAAACCTGAACACTTTCACTTTATCTATTCAGCTCTGTTTGATGTCAGTCCTGTCTGTTTATGCCAATGAAGAAACTCCCAAAACTCTTTCTAGTACTCCTAAAAATCAGGGAATAAATGTGCAAGTTTTGATTTAATAAAGCATGTTCCATATAAAACAAACAAATATCAAATTTTTCTGAAAAAAGGAAAAAAAATGGAAGTAATAAATATTAAAGCACATATTTCACAGCATAATTATTAACTATTGCGATATATTGGTAAACAGAGCAGCAGACAAAAAAATTAAAGATGAGTTGCTGTGGTTAGCTCTGAATGGTAAAGCTTTCTGAGAAGTGTAGGCACACATGAAGGGAGCAAACTTCCATGAGGTGGCGATGAGAACTGGGAGGAGCTTCTGCAGGCATTCATTATGTAAGCAGACTGCCTCTTTAACCCGACGTGAGAGGGAGAGAGAGGCAGCTCAGGCAACACGCTCTTCGTTTCCCTCCTGCTGCTGTGCACGGCGGGAGACGAGGACTGATGTTTTATTGATGCTCAGCTTGTGTTTGCCTGTCGGTGATACAGGCAGAACAAGAACGGAGCATCAGTGACAAAACAGAAGCCGCTTAGCAGGTTGAATCATCTGAAATTCCTGCAGCGTAGGTATGGACATAGCTGCTCTACATCAGGGCTACTCCAACAACATCTACTCACCCCATTACCAGGTAGGACCAGTTCTTATTAAGCAGTGAATTAGAAAGACTCCTCCTCTTTTTCCTAAACAGATGTTTAGTTTCCCTCCATGCTGCCTCAGGATTTACTTTTTCAGCATGTGGTACAGATTTACTGCATGACAATTGCTCCATGATCACCCTGAAGTTAACATGTGATCGTTTATGTTACTGAGCTGCTGTGTTGAGCAGATTTTAAACTGGGAGGCATCCCCAGCACAGCTGATGTCATACCTAATGATGAAGGGAAAACAGAAACATACGCTAGAGCTCTGGCATGCTGGCTTCTTCATGATTGGACATTTTTTTAGGTACTAATTAAAGTCCTGCTCTTAATGGATCACTGACCATTGGTCCTGGAGGTCTGTGGATGACGCTGCGCTGAATGTGTCTTTCTGTCTCTATGAGGTGACATGTTTGGAGTCTGAAGCTCTAGAAAAAGTTTAAGAAGATGATATTATTGGTCCTTTTTTTAGTTTCACTTTGTTTCTACTTCCCTTGCTCTCCTTTGAAACAGATATCTAAGTTCATACCAGCTGTTTATTATCACCTTTAGTCAGAAAGTAACTAATAATCTTTAATTTAGGAAACCTTTTTAAGATGGTGTTCATCTGCCTTCGTGATTCTGTGTGCGGACTGAAGCTCGCTAACAAACCTTTGAGGCATTCACTAAACATCTGGATTGTTTTTGACCCAGCAGTGGAATCTGTTTACTAATATGGTGATTATGAAGGCTTTTGGTTGGTTTGAGATTTACTCTGCTGTTCATCACTTATTTGGATGCAGTTTTTTAAACCTAACAGTGTTTTTTATGGAAACCTTTCAATTCATTCTATAGTTTTTGACTTTTTTTTGTCTGTCCTGTATTTAACTTTAATGCAGTCTGAAATTAACCACTTGTTCTTTTTGTTTTCTTATTCCTCTCGGTCTTGTAGGAACTAACTATGGGTTGATTGTTTTTTAAAATACTGACTGCTAAGATTTTCAAATATCTTGAGTCTTTCTTAATGTGTAAACAACCTCTGTCATGATGGATGTTTACGTGGCTTCAACTCCTTTCAGACTGTTGAAGAAGAGCAATAGTTTCTCTAAGGTCATTGTTGTCGTCTCTCTTTGGGATTTTAAGATGCACTGCAGAGAACCAACCAAAGCTCAGTTAATAAATGTTTTTTTAGCATTAACTTGCTGCTGTTTTCCCTAAAAGCAGAAAGAGTGAACTGTTGTTCCTATAGCTCGCCTGAAATCGAAATAAAATTACATAATATAAAATGGAACTTAACCATTGTGGCTATGAATGATGCATTGAATTTGATAAATTAGGAGTAACCTGGAGATTTCTCTTTACTCCTCTGCCTGTTTTTTCTCTTCAGCTCGAGCATTTGAAACAGCAGAACTCCAAATTCCAGGAGGAGCTCAGCCTGTCGAAGGAGCGGAGCAGCTCAGAAAGCCAGCGGATCGGCATCCTCTGCAAGGAAATGTGAGTTCCTCGGATAACTGATGTGTTTTTTCCTGCCTCTGTAAAGGTGACCCCTGCCTGCCTGTTCATTAACGCTGGAGCCACTAAAGTCACCTCCAAGGTCTAAACTGCTGATTTAAAATCTAGCTGGATTTTTAAACACTAATAATGTAACTGGACTACATTTAAGAATTTAGATGTGTAAATATACCTTTACAAGCCCTGGTAAGGCCAAATGATTTAAAACATCTCTAGGGAGATGTTGCATATTTTATAAAACGTTCTGCAAAGCCTGAAATAAGTTGGAGCTATTCAGTGATGATGTAAGACCTCCAGGGAATTCTGATCTTTACAGATATTTTTGTATTGTATACGTCATGTCAGGAAATGTCTAAAATGATCAATGCCCTCCAACCAATCTTTTGTTTTTCCCATGGAGTGTTTTATCTCGCTGTTTCTGTCCAGAATACATTTCTGTTTTGGTGTTAGACTGACTTCATCATTTCTCTGGGATTCCCACAAGGACGTTAACATTTCTAAAAACAGTTTTCCATGATTGACAGAACCACAAAAGGATTAAACAGACTAACTGCTGCGCTTCATTCAGACTATTTGTTGTCTGCTGAAAATATCACTGCCTCTTAAACTCTCCCAGCTTGAATGAACTAAAAATATGTTACTGATGCTACAGTTTGTTTTTAAATAGCTTCTTCTGTCTTTGCACTTCCCCTGATTTCGTTTGAAACCATCCAGAATGATATACTATTACTAAAACTGTAGATTTTAGACAACATTTTTACTATTTTTGAGCTAAATGACGTGAAAAGTGCTTTTTTACTCATTTCCAAGAATTTATTATTACCTTTGTCTCCACTGAATTTAAGTGAAATAGACTTAAGACAAGTAATGTCCCTACTCATGAGGGTGCATATAAATATATAAGCTTTGGTAGAAACCAAAGAAAGTGTTGCATCACCTCACAGCAGCAGGAAAAAAAATCCTGAAAATAGGAAAAATAAAACCTCTCACATGTTATTTAATTGCTCAGGAAAAAAA